TTGAATTATAGGGTCATTTAACTGCATTCTAATAGGCTTCATCACACAGGCAATGCTTTTGGACTCTCAAGACGTGTTTTTGTTTGTTTTTTTGCAAAGTGAGTGACACACTCCATAATGTCAGCTCACATATCATTAAAAAAAAATAAGCCAATAAATATCGCACACCCCTACACAGTAACTGTACAAGACATCTGTAATATTTAGGGGAAACTGAGCATTAAATGAAAACATACCTGTGCTGAATTTATATGTTTCACTGAACAAGGTCTGGCCCACAAGATCATACTGAAGTAAGCTTGATGATTCCGGAGGAAAATCTACTGATGCTTGAAGACCCTTCCTCCATGTGTAGACGATTTCACGATTAGTGTAAGCATCTGAAGGTACAGTGTAAGAGAGAGCAGCTGAGAAATGGTGCACAGATGGATAGACGGACGGACAGACACGACAGACAGATCTTACAGCTTCCAAACAGGAGAGGACATGTGTGTCCATCCATAGGAAAGTCCATCAACACCATTGGACACACTGCACTTACAGTCAGCCTAAAATATCCAGAAAACAGGCATTTATTTGGTGACCCAAATTATTTGCTATAATAATATCCTAATAAAAACATTCACTTATACTGAAACAGATTTCCGAGGGTTTCCTATCAAGGGTTTTTGAAAGCTCAGCCCTCATCTGATTGTTTTACCTCATGGTGTAAAAGACCGTTCCGTTTTGCATGATTCGAAACAGCTTGTTAGGAGACGTCATGTTGTGTGCGAGTGACGTCCTTGCATTGCGAAAAAACGTGTCTGGCGTCCAGATCTTGTCCACCATGCGATTGTTCAAAGGCAAGATTTCGACGGGCCCCTGAAAGGCTAACCTCTCGTCAACCCACATTTGGCGGAAAAACATATCCATGGTGAACTCCTTAGAGACAGAACAATTTCTTTCTGTGAAACATGGTTACAACCGATATGAATTCATAATTTAAGTTATTTTTTAAGCATAGTGTGGGTGAGGCTTGACATACTGATATTAGTTTGAACAGACATAAATAACACATCAGCTTGTTATCTACTTAGAAAGTACTTTAGCCACAAGACATGAAGCACTATAGCTAAATCGAAATAAAGATGTAACATTTGGGTGCTGTATTTTCTTACCATCTTAACATCAGATACTGGTCCAAAACTTGTGACGAATATGTCTGTTTTGACCTCAGTTACAGAGACTGCAAAGTTAATCACAGATTACATTTACATGTAGAGATGTGAGTCCATTACACTGTTACAGCAAAATTAAGTGAAATACATAAAGGGGTATTTGAGCATCAAAACAACAGAAGTTTAGTACAGCTTTAATTGTTTTCATACATTAGAATGTGTCCTGTTTAATTTAAAAAAAATGCGTAATCATACGTTTTCACCATGATTACAGAAAATGTCATTCAGTGTTACAATAGTTCATATATCAAAAAAAATCTTGTCAGGCACATTTAGACCAAAAATCATTAGATGACATTAAAAGACTCTAGTTAAGGACCACAGTGCAGCACTAAAATACTAATTAATTGTCATTTTAAATCTTTCCCAATCTTCACACCACCAGGTTTTAATCATTTAAAATATAATAAGAGTTTAGTATGATCTCTTATGCTTTTATATATTTTAATAAGTGCAGATTGTAATAAGTATGTTGTTTCATTTTTTCTTAAATATATCTGTTTCGCTGAATGACGATGGAACATTATTTCACCCATATTTTATTTTCACAAACATTATTTGAAACATTAAAGTAGAGACTTTACTTGCATTTAAAATGCTTTCTGTGTATAATAAAATCACTTTTGTAAATGTAATTTGATGTGAACACAAAATGGGATCTCGCCTTTGAACCACATAATGTCAAAACTTTGACAAATTATTAAAATTTCTAGTAATTTCTAATTCAAATTATTTAATTTCTATACTGGGAGGCCTGTGCTTACCTCCAGATCCCGGGCGCAGTCGATTGTCATAACCCTCAAGAAGTCGGTCTAGAATCCGTGTTATATTTTCTGAATTTATCCTTTGCTTTCCTAATACATCTGCAACACTACACAGAGAGAAATTACCATCTTGATTAGTCCTTTCAGTGAATGTAGACCTACGTCAGGTAAAATTAGCATTAAAGTTAACTCATTTAAAGTAAGTATACCTAGTCCATTAACTCACCTTGTGAGACATAACAAGGCCAAAAGAAGAGCCATTTCTGTTGCAAAAAAGTAAATAAATAAATACAAAATAAAATAAATTAAGCCATCATTGGTTAGAGGTCATAATGTGATGTACTGAACTGAAGCACTGTCTTATGACTGTCAGTAAATGAAGGGCTGAATGTGACTTGAAATGCTTTCAGGATAATCAAATTAAAGGATTAGGAAAATCCACTTGCTTTTTTAGCAACAGGTTAAAGAGTATATCAAGCAAACTA